TTTTCTTTACCCCAGAAAAGGCCCTTTATATTTAAATACTTTATATTTACATCGAGGGGTCCCTCTCTATGGAGGCCGCCATGTTTTTTTACATTAGTCCAGACTGGACAAACTAAACACCTTTTGAGTTTTTATGACAACTAAAGCGGCCACAGGTTCTTTTTCATGTCTGGAGGGGAGGTGGAGGTGAGGGATGTTCAGCTGCAACATGCCACTTCACCTCTAGATGTCACTAAATCCAACACACTGTACCTTTAAAACATGAGACTTGTGTCCATCTGAAAAATCTGAAAGAAAGCAAATACGTGTTATTTGCTTACATTTAGAAGTTGGCAAATAAATTGCTACTCAAAGGTAGAACACTCGATTTGGGAGGCAGAGTATTAGAGTGATATGGACCAAGTGGAACCATTATCTGAACTATATTTAAAACTTTGATTAACACTAGTTGAATTATTGCTCTGTCTAAATATCAATGGAACAAAAAATAAACATGTATGACATGAAAGCTGTACTATCATGAGCCCCATCTAAAAACTCCATGCTTCCATGCTTCCATCAGTGTGAATGGAAGGCAAAACAGGGCTTTAGAAAGTAGGCAGATACAATAAAAACAAAGAAACAGCCCCATCCACAATGTTCAGTCCAGAAGTCTATTTCACAAAGTGCCTTCCTACTTCCAACCATTCTGAAGATGCAAGGATGTATGAAACCAGATCATGCTGTGAGTCCAAGTTCTTCTTCCCTTCATCCTGACTCTCTCCCATGCTAATGAGGCATCAGGTTGAATAGACTGAAGTCAGACATATGTACATGGTCATGTAAGTAAACAAATTGGTATAAACAAGGAGTTTGATGGTCCAAGTATTTCCAACACTCTGGGTGGCCAAAAGACTAGTTGTACAAGTCATCATGACACTGCACAATGAAATCCAAAATATATTTTTTAATAGGTTTAGTCTAGTGAATTTGACTGCTGACCATTTATCATCAAACAATGTATACGCAGCAGACAGAATGAAAACTGGGCAAAGAGAAATATGCCTGGTGAAAATGCTGAGGCCATCAAAGTGGTCATGTATACCAGCTTGGATGTTTTCTGTTTAAAACATGTGATGTGCCTGTTCATCATATGTTAAGTCCAGGATAAAAAGGCCACAAAAACAGGCCTGAAGAGGTCCAGTTAGACATGGCTCAATCTAGTGAAATGATATCCGATATGCCACTGTCAGTTCCTCCTCCAGCACCTCCACCTCCTCCTGTGATGACCCTGGTTTCGTGGATGGAGCTGGCGGCGTGGGTGGTAGTGTCAAAGTGGCTGCTGGAGGAGACCAAGGCTGAGCTTGTGCTGGCTGCAGCTGCACTTTGCATACTGCTGGTCAGGTTATCCAGGAACATCTGAGGTCTGTAATGCTGAGTAGGAAGAACAAGCTGTTAAGGACCAACATCCCTGCCACTGAGAAGCATCTATGAACTATAAAAATCATTCCTCCCTGTTGCTGTCAAACTGTATAATGACAACTTGTAAATAAGCTTAAACCTGTATACTTAACTTACATATCATGTTGATCTATATTGCAGATTTATTTCTACTTATGCTCATCTTTGACTTTTGTCTTCTTGTTTAATTTGATTTATTTTGATTCCGCTGCATTTTTTACTCTTACTTTCTGATAACTGTTGGTCCCTCTCTTGACACTGCATAATCCAACCATTCGGTTTCTATAATTCTTATTTGAAAATGTTTACAATGGGCATAAACGTTTTAACATGGAGAAAGAAAAATCTCGATAGGGTCTTCTGATATTCACACACACTCACACACACACACACACACACAC